TGGTTGGTTTGGTGTTTAACGCCGCACTCAGCGGTCTGTAAATAATCGAGTCTGAACCAGACAATCCAGTCATTAATATCATAAGCATCGATCCACGCAATTGTTGGTTTGTTGTTTAACGCCGCACTCAGCTTTATGACGGCGGCCGAGTCTGGAGTCTAATCGAGTCTGGACTAGACAATCCAGTGATTGGGATCGATGACATGCTTAAACCAAGTCAGCGAGCCTGACCACCCGATCCCGTTAGTCGCCTTTCACGACAAGCATAATCACCGTTTACGGCAAGCATGGGTTGTTGAAGACCTATTCTACCCCGGAATCTTCACGGATCCAACCAATTGGTTGGTTGGTTGGTTGTTTAACGCCGCACTCAGCAATATTCCAGCTATATGACGGCAGTCTGTAAATAATCGAGTCTGGACCAGACAATCCAGTGATTGGGATTAATGACATGTATCAACCAAGTCAGCGAGCCTGACCACCCGATCCCGTTAGTCGCCTTTTACGACAAGCATAGTCACCTTTAACGGCAAGCATGGGTTGCTGAAGACCTATTCTACCCCGGAATCTTCACGTGTCGAGACAAGTATGGAGAAGACAGGTGGTGTGCTGGAGAAGGGGTGAGGGTTCTAAAAGTGTGGAAAAGACAGGTATTGAGCTTCGGTGAGTGAGTGAATATGGTTTTACGCCGCTTCTAGCAATATTTCAGCAATATCACGGCGGGGGACACCAGCAATGGGCTTAACACATTGTTCCCATGTCGGGAATCGAACCCGGGTCTTCAGCGTGACGAGCGAACGCTTTAACCACTAAGCTACCTGACCGCCACGGTGGGCTTCAGAAAGGGCAAGTGTGGTGAAGGGTGAACACGTGAAGATCCGGGCTAGAATACGTCTTCAGCAACCCATGCTTGCCCCGTAAAAGGCGACTATGCTTGTCGTAAAAGGCGACTAACGTGCTCGCAGGCTTGGTTGATGCATGTCATCGACCTTAATTGCGTGGATCGATGCTCATGATATTAATCACTGGATTGTCTGGTCCAGACCCGATTGTTTACAGACCGCCGTCATATAGGTGGTATATATTGCTGAGTGCGACATAAAACATCAAACCAACCAACCTAAGAGGCGACTATGTTTGTTGTAAGAGGCATCGGGTGGTCAGGCTCGTTGACTTGGTTGAAGATATCATCAATCATAATTGTGAGAATCGATGCTCATGATATCAATCACTGGATTGTCTGTTCCGGACTCGATTATTTTAAGACCGCCGTCATATAGCAGGAATATTGCTGAGTGCGGCTTTAAACAACAAACAAAACAAACTAGTGGTAACGTAGCTTACATATTTTCTGTGACATGATTTTTGACATGATCTGTGTTATTATGTGTTTGTTGGTGAATATTTACAAATCCCAGGATGACAGTTTACTTTGAAGAGTAAATTACTTATCCTATCCTTGTTAGTCTTGCTGTCATAAAGCTAGAATATTGCTGAGTACGGCGTTAAGCAACCAACAAACAAAACAAACACAATATTCATGATTACAATTTATGTATAACGTACATTACTATAATCATTTCAGGATGGGAAAGACTCGTGCAGAGGTATAGAGGCACTACCGAGAAAGAATAAAGAAGGTGAAATATACTTTCAAAAACAGTTAAAAAAGTGGGTGAAATAACATGGAAACAGAGTGAAACAGGCTGAAAAGATTCTACAAGAAAATAGACTTTCAAATCCTAAAAATGAAATGACAGCGGCTTCCATTGATGATGATGATAACAAACCAGAGAATGATTGTACTGTTTCCTTGTCATCTGAAGGAGGAAATAATTAGGATAACACGTAATTACAAACTTGTCTCGAAAGATATTAAAGGCTCTTGAAAAATCGGTGATAAGGCTGTATGAAACTGAAACTGATTCTGTTAACGACTCAATTAATGAGGGCAACAGAAGAACAACAACAGGGCATCAGTGCAAGAAGGTTGGTTGGTTTGTTTGTTGTTTAACGCCGCACTCAGCAATATTCCAGCTATATGACGGCGGTCTGTAAATAATCGCATCTGGACCAGACAATCCAGTGATTAATATCATGAGCATCGACCCACGCAATTGGGATCGATGACATGCATCAACCAAACAACAATTTATCTCCAGAGTTCTGACGCGCAGAATTATCAAGAAAATCAAAATGAAGAGAATTCTTAGGAGAGTTTTTGTATTGATCGCAGAACCCTACACCTAGCAACAAAACACTATGACACAATCTGAAGATCGCAGAACCCTACAGCCAGCAAGAAAACACTGTGACACAATCCACCAAGAGTGCTCTGAGAGCACAACATCCCCTGCATGAATTTTTTAACGAGTTTATATTTTCTTTGTATTTTTCATGAAGCTCCATAAAACAGGGGCAGTATTAGTCGAAATGAAACGGGACTGCGATATGCGTATCACCAACATGTCGACATCTTGTGTGTAGAGTGTCAGGGATATTCTCTGGAAACTGTAGGAGTTGATTTCACAAGCTTAGTACCCTCTCTCACAATTAGGCAAATGAAGCTCCGTAAAACAGGTGCAGTAACTCTGTCAAAATAAGTCGAAATGAAACGGGACTGTGAGATGCGTATCATCATTATGTCGATATCTTGTATGTAGAGTGTCCGGGATATTCTCTGGAAACTGTAGGAGGGGTTAATTTCACAAGCTTAGTACCCTCTCTCACAATAAGGCAAATGAAGCTCCATAAAACGGGCAGTAACTCTGTCACAATTAGTCGAAATGTAACGGCACTGCGATATGCGTATCATCAACATGTCGACATCTTGTGTGAAGAGTGTCAGGGATATTCTCTGGAAACTGTAGGAGGTGTTGATTTCATACCCTCTTTTGGACGGACGGATGGATGGAGGGACGGAATGGGCCACGACATAATTCCCCGTCGGCCATTCTGGCCGACGGGGGATAAAAACTCTCTCGGCTACACAGACAAAGGCAACATCTTCAAAATAAGATTATTTCCTTTCTTGAACGGGATGATAACAGTCGACTTCTGCAAGGCCAAATGACAAAAAACGGGCTTTTGATGACAATTTGGCCTATCTGCATATCACATTCCTTTCAGAACAAACAACTCTGAAGATATCTCTAGCAACTTTCTGTCGAATGAGACCCAAGTACATCACACTTACTCGTGACATTGACAAGAGACCCGTGAAGATACTTAAGCAACCCATACTTGCCGTAAAAGGCGACTATGCTTGTCGTAAGAGGCGGACCCGTGAAGATTCCGGGGTAGAATAGGTCTTCAGCAACCCATGCTTGCCGTAAAAGGTGACTATGCTTGTCGTAAAAGGCGACTAACGGGATCGGGTGGTCAGGTTTTGGGTTTGGTTTGGTTTGTTGTTTTACGCCGCACTCTAGAATAGGACTCGATTATTTACAGACCGCCGTCATATAGCTGGAATATTGCTGAGTGCGGCGTTAAACAACAAACCAACCAAACAACCATCCAACGTAAGAGGCGACTAACAGGATCGGGTGGTTAGGCATGCTGACTTGGTTGATGCATGTCATCGATCCCTATTGCGTGGGACCCGTGAAGATCGGGCTCGAAGAGGTCTTTGAACAGCAACTATACTTGTCGTAAAAGGCGACTAACGGGAACGGGTGGTCAGGCTCGCTGACTTGGTTGATGCATGTCATCGATCCCAATTGTGTGGATCGATGCTCATGATATTAATCACTGGATTGTCTGGTCCAGACTCGATTATTTACAGACCGCCGTCATATAGCTGGAATATTGCTGAGTGCGGCGTTAAACAACCAACCAACCAACCTCTGTGCTATAATCACATCAAACCACTATGGACATCTTAATCGCCTCATTGCTTGAGTCTCAATAACCAGCGTCTTGTCATTACCACACCTCCAGCTTAATTGAATCCTGTTTTTCCCATTGTCTTCATCAATATGTTATCTTCGTTCATATTCCACACCTTGTTTTGTGTAGACATATCGTGTATGTATATATACACTCCGTGCACCTACTCAGCTTTCCTCTGATGAAGGAGCAAGAAGTAACTCTGATACGTCGTGACACAGAAAAAAGTGAATTGCTATCCATATATACATTGTACATTTAAGTAGTTTTCACTTTCATGGTATGTTTCGTTCCATCTGACTGCGTCTTTTGTCAATGTCTCTTTATATAAATCTATGGGCATTTGTAGATGCCAGGCTGACACTCGCCTGTGAACATGAGATAAACAATCTGGTGGAGTCGGGGACGCTGGTCCTTGTTCACACACGTTGACGATGCGCTGGAGCATTGAGACAGTTATTCATGTGTGTTAGTCTGAATGTGCCTCAATTGAAAGATGAGCGGGTCAAATCTCCGAATGCTTCAAGTTGAAGACTCCAGACTGGGCTGGTTGTTGGGTACATACTTGTGTGTGTCGTCCACGTCCTTGTGGGTTTTCTTGAAAAAAAAAGTATTTTCCTGCGTCCGGTAAGTTTACGAATCTATGATTTTGTAGAGGTTTATATATACACTGTTGAATAGATTTTGGTAGATGTGTTAGCGTCGACTTATATCCAATATCCATTTGTTTTAGTTTGTTTGTTGTTTAACGCCCCACTCGGCAATATTCCATTTATGTCCTTTTAAATAATCGAATCTAGACCAGACAAACCAGTGATTAATATTATGATTGGTTGGTTTGTTGTTTAACGCCGCACTCAGCAATATTCCAGCTATATGACGGCGGTCTGTAAATAATCGAGTCTGGACCAGACAATCCAGTGATTATTATCATGAGCATCGATCCACGCAATTGGGATCGATGACATGCATTAACCAAGTCAGCGAGCCTGACCACCCGATCCCGTTAGTCGCCTTTTACGACAAGCATAGTCACCCTTTACGGCAAGCATGGGTTGCTGAAGACCTATTCTACCCCGGAATCATCACGGGTCGATTAATATTATGAACAACGTGCAGTTGTAAACAACATTATAAGATGTGACTACTCATTTATCACCAATACCAATAATACCTGGTATTCATTTATTTAGTGTTCAGTGATCTATTTTATCACGTTCCAAATCCCAATACTTCTATAAATGTTTCAATAATATTTTCAGATGGGTAAACTACACCTGAAAATGAAGATGAAGATGAAGAAATGCCTCCGAGGGCACCTGCTGCTGATAGCCACCGTCCTGTGTATAGTGCTGGGGGTGACTATCGGGATGCTGTGCCGTCAGCTGTATCCCTCCCCTGCCACGATCATGCTCATTGGTTTCCCAGGAGAACTGCTCATGCGAATGTTGAAGCTACTTATCCTACCGTTGATAGTTGCCAGTTTAATCACAGGTGAGTGGATGAATGAGAATACCAGTGACCCTCGTACGACAAGACTGTGGACCCGTGAAGATCCGGGGTATGATAGGTCTTCACAACTCATGCTTGCCGTAAATGCAAGCTTGCTGACTTGGTTGATGCATATCATCGATTCCAATTGCGTGGATCGATGCTCATGATATTAATCACTGGATTGTCTGGTCCAGAATCGATTATTCACGGACCGCAGTCATGTAGCTTGAATATTGCTGTGTGCGGCGTTATACAACAAACAAACAAAACAAAGACAAGACTGTGATACTTGGGTTGTGGTCTTCCATGTAATCCTCAAGGGACTTGGTCACAATTATGGTCAAGGGGATACACTGATATTATTCATTATCATATAAATGTGTAGGTTTCTCGGCTGAATAAAGCCAACGGATAAAAACGATATCCGTTGGGGTCATATGCGGATAGAGATGCAAATATCAAAGGTCAAGTAGGGACTACTTTCACTGTTTACAAACAAACATGGCGTCGCCCTCGTCATTCGGCGATCGAGTCAGAATTAACCATCGGGAATCTGGATAAACTACAGGGATAATTGCTATCATTATCAAAAGAAGAGTCTAATATACTGAAAATCAGTGTCGAAACAATTTTGCGAGGGCACGAGGCCTAGCCAAGCGGGATCAGTAGCCATATATGTGCTTGTAGACCTCTGCGGCTTGAAACCTTCTCCACAAATTCAAATAGTTGGATTTGGCCGAAATATGTTTGAATTGTTACCTTGTTTCGTTTTGTCGCTGTGTGTACATCTGACTACACTTCTTAACGTTATGACAGGACAGGCGGACTGTCAACAACGTCTGACCGTGGCGTCTCATAGACTAGGGTTAGAGTAGCTTCCCTTTGACAAAGGGCAGTCACTCTAGCGGACAGACCGATGGATTGCCGCGAAAGGCAATTAAAACCAATTGTTGTTTTGCGTATATGTTGCTTCGCCACTGTATAAGAAACAGATTTCAGTTCAAACTATATTGGCCACTGTCACTGTCCGACTGACACTTACCTTGTGACGTAATAAATATTAATGCGCGCATTCCAGGAAAACTCGCAATGTTTCGGTAATGTTTGTGAGAGAGGGAAAGTGATTTTGAAGCACATAATTAAAGAATGACATTATATGATAAAGAGGTTATCACGCTTGTGTGTTTAGGGATGGTAAATATCCTGGCCAAGGCTCGCTAAATACAATGTTTATTCCTAATGCAGGATATTTACCATCCCCAAACACACTCGCGTGACAACCTCTATTTATTTACAGAACCGTAAGTGCGTTATATATCCACAACTCATCCACTGTGTCATCAATGGGCTGAATATGTTCACATGATACTTGTACGTACTTGAACAATGTAAAGTACAGGCGATCGATGTACATGGTCCATATTATGTATTGTTGTGCTTATTACTTCCATTTGATGCGGGTAGAATAGGTCTTCAGCAACCCATGCTTGCCGTAAAAGGTGACTATGCTTGTCGTAAAAGGCGACAAACGGGATCGGGTTGTCAGGCTCGCTGACTTAGTTGATGCATGTCATCGATCCCAATTGCGTGGATCGATGCTCATGATATTAATCACTGGATTGTCTGACTCGATTATTTACAGACCGACGTCATATAGCTGGAATATTGCTGAGTGGGGCGTTAAACAACAACCAACCATTTGATGCCTTTGATAACGGTTGTCAGTATTAGGATACTTGAAACCCACCATGCCCGTATGCATCACTTGTATACACAGGCAAGGTGCAGATGTTGTAAATCTAAGTTACGTTGTGGTGTTGTTCTACTTGTGAGGCGACTAACGGGGACGGGTGGTCAGGCTCGCTGACTTGGTTGATGCATGTCATCGATCCCCACTCATTTCGTTTGCGGGCCATGTATAGATATAATAAACGAGCGTCACAAGGTTACATAAAAGTGTACATAAAATAGTCTGTTAATGTGCCCAGGTAATAAGGGGCCGACCTTTTTATATTCTAGAAGGGGAAAGGAACAAAAATATTCTGTTCCTGAACTTGCTGTGAAATATTTTTTTTCCAATGTTCTGAAAAAAGAATTAATTGGACATGCTTGTTGTTTTGTAAAATAGTGACCATGGTGATAGAACAATGGTTTTGATAGAACACATTTCGTTTTCGGCGCAGAACACAAAAAACATGAGAGATATCTTTACCAAACTTGGCACATAGATAGGTCTAGTGATCAACTGGTGCCTTTTGACAGTTTGGGATTTTAAAAAGAAATATTTTTCGAGTTTTCCTGGCAACGACTTTGACTAAGACTGAAAATGGCGGTAGTGCTTGTTTCCGGAGCAGATTTTGAAAAAACGTACAATATTCTGTCATGGTTGAAAGAAAACAGTACCCAGGAACTTTAGCATGGGGCCTCACAACCCACAAGTCTCAAGGTAGCACCCATGAGCAGATGATTGCAATTGGGAACATGACAATTACACATGGAAGTAAATTTAAAGCCCAGCCTGGCCAAGTGTATACGATGCTCAGTAGGGTCAAATCAAGGAAAGGCCTAAAACTTGTAGGTTTTGCTGAACACAAAATTGTAGTAAACAAAAAAGCATTGGATGAGATGACTAGATTGCGGAATGAAAGACTATTCACCTGGACACACCCTGTAGAGAACATTCATGGTGATGGACTCACTTGAATGGCTCACTTGAATGTTCGATCCCTCAGTGCTCATTTCGAAGAAGTGAAGAAGGATAAGTTTGTTGGTGTACTTGATGTTTTGTGTTTCACAGAAACACACATCAATGATTACAGTGAAAGAGACCTGCCAGGATATCTAGTCTATCCAGGAGACACAACACATGGTATTGCTGTGTATATTTCAACAAGTTGCAAGAACAGTGTCCAGCTATGTGATGTAATGTCATCTCGCAGTATTGAATACATTTCCTTTTTTGTTGGCAAGTTCTGCATTGCTTGTGTGTATGTTCCTCCAAAGTTGTCGTGGACATGGTTGTCGCATTCACTTACTAACTTCATGCAGAAACTTCAGGATCTCTTCAAGCAGCATGAATGTGAACATGTCCTAGTTACTGGGGATTTCTGAGCGAAAAACTGCAACTTGAAGATTTCTTTAATGTGCAGAAAATGACTCAAGAATTTGAAGAAACACCTTGAAACTGACCGTGATTTACGTTTTACAAAGTACAAAACTATGGCAGCTGTTGCATACATTTGGTTACACATACAAAAAGATAACTGGAGAAAATAGGGCTGTGTTGTGTGAACGGTCTGACATTGTTCGTCTCCGAAATCATTACCTTCGTATCATCAAGCAGAAACGTGAAGAAGGATATGAGCCCGTCTTCTTAGATGAGACATGGGTAAATGCGTCACACACAGCCAGCAGTCAGTGGGTACCCAGTGGTGACTGTAAGGAGTCTGGTAGAAAGTTACCAATGGGAAAGGGTGAAAGACTCATAGTTCTCCATGCTGGTTCTGCTAGTCAGGGTTTTCTCCCAGACTGTGACCTCGTCTTTAGAGCCAAGGCCAAAAACAACAGGGACTACCACACAGAAATGAACGGCAATGTATTTCTGGAGTGTGTGAAAGATAAATTAGTCCCTGCTTTGCCTACAAAGTCTCTCATTGTCATGGACAATGCACCGTATCATGGTGTGCAGGATCCAGAAAGCAAGACTCCAACCTCTAATAACCGTAAAGGAGACATGGTTACTTGGCTGCAACGGAGGAACATTACCTTTCCTTCTCGAGCGACGAAACCACAGCTCTATGAAATCATCAAAACTATGAAACCTGACCCCGTGTATAAAGTTGACAGTTACATCAAGGGTCAGGGTCACGCTGTCTTACGACTGCCACCTTATCACTGCGACCTGAATCCAATCGAGTTGGTATGGGGCATCGTCAAGGGTGACGATGGACGATCGAACACAACGTTCAAATTACGAGACGTTGAACAACTCGTAAAGGAATCCCTTGGTTGGGTAACAGTAGAAACATGGAGGCGTTGTGTGGCCACAGTCGTTGACCAGATAGAACCACGTTATTGGTCACGAGATGGACTACGGCCAGCAACAGTCCAACCTATAATAATGGCAGTCGGTTCAGGCACCAGCAGTTCCGACGACGAGATCTATGGCATGAGCGAGTCAGATTGCGACTGAAATTATCACGAGACCCTAACGCTCTGTCATTTCCCCTACCACAGAACGTGCAGTGCATGCGTGCTTGCGCTGTGCCTTCCACGGTTTGTCCTCCCTACGTGTCATGTACACATTTCTATACAAAATTACATGATAGTTTTTTAAAGAACTTCATCCGTCATGGTTCTTAAAATAAACAAAATTCAGATTGTGTTGGGTACAGGGTATTTATGGTCAAGTACCGTATCGATGTTACATACACTTTTCTGGATTTCGAGTTATTTTGCAATTCATGGTTCTCATTTGGAGTCAAACGGGCTGTAAGTAATAACACAACTCATTACAAATACAACAGTGTAACTGCATCTTAAACCTACTCAACTGTATAAACACTTCCTCCCATCCTGTATATATTCTTGTCAACCATACTCTGTACTTCACTTGCTTGATAACGGTGTTAGAACCTACACCGAAACGTCGCTCCTAATTGTAATAAAGAAGTTGTTCGTCCATGTTTCATCCTTACTCATTACAAATACAGTATACGTATTCTATCATAAACTGGAGATGGCAAAACAACACAAGTAATAACTTTTTTAGTGCTCCAATTAGGCCATTTACAAAAAGGTGCATCGAACACAGTTCACAGGAGCTAATGCATTGCACACAACCGGACATGTCATATTGGCGGGGGATATATTTCATGCTTGTTACTCCTGTGTTTTGAATCGTTGGCGTAAGGACCTGGGCCATATTTGTTACGATGTTGATGTTCAAGGAATCGCAAATCTGGATGGCAAGTCAGCTGGTAAAATGGGTGTCGTGACGCTCGCCTACTACATCAGCACCACCGTCGTGGCCCTGATTGTCGGCCTCACACTCGTCCTCGCCATCAGACCAGGACGGGGAAACATGATGCAGTCCACCACACAGGAGGCTGGAGCAGCTCCCCATCTCTCTCCCAAGGATGCTTTTCTGGACCTCCTCAGGTTTCATTTCATATCAACGCAATTGCCAAATATGTAATATGCCTACTGGGCCATGGATATGTGTGAAATTATTTTCAGTTATTTTCACAACCCATGCTTGCCATAAAAGGTGACTATGCTTAACGAGGCGACTAACGGGATCGGGTGGTCAGGCTGCAAATAATCGAGTCTGGTCCAGACCATCCAGTGATTGATGTCATGAAGTCGGCGAGCCTGACCACCTGATCCCGTTAGTCGCCTACTACTACAAGCATAGCCATCTTTATGGCAAGACTAGGTTTGCTGAAGACCTATTCTCTGCCCGGATCTTCACGGCTGATCAGGGAGATTGCAATACATATCACATACAAACTACGTTAATTATTGTTTTTAACGAAAATGAAAACTGGTAGGCATACCATTTTTTAAAGTACAAATTTTGGTTCTGACTGCATGTAGGGTTACCACTGAAATCTGTGAAAATTGTACTTAACGTGGTCGAAGCCACGTAAAATCATGACTTTTTTTCACAAATACTTGTGTGGTATTGCATATCACACTGTTTTAGTATCCTCAATGATTATCTTTCATATTTTTAACTTTGTGAAACACTTTAACTTAGACAAGATACATGTTATAGTACTCAGGAATCCTTTTCAGAAACGTCGTCCCGGAAAATATCCTACAGGCAGCCATTCAGCAAACAGGGACAAAGTATGTTTACATGGACAGAAGTGTCGTGAATAATTCCCATGTCGTACAGGGACCTGGAAGAAATGCTTCTTTTGAGGATATACTAACCCCCAATACCACCGGACTGAGGCCACAGAGCCCGGCACACTGGGAACAGAAGAGTGTTTATGTGACAGGGATGAACACAATCGGTGAGAGAACATTTACTTTAAACAGACACTGACTTGGGGAATTCGTTTAGTTTATCGCCACTTACAATATCTCGGTTATATCACGGCGTGTTAACCAGTAAGGGAGCACTCGGGCGTAAACTAAATGTTTTCTCACTACTTGTGTAATTTATTTTATAACATTTCAATGTTTTAAACACTTTAAATTACTTGATGACGTAGATCGAGTCGCTTTGCTTCGGAAACATAGCTGAAGAAAAATCAAGCTGACCTGGGTTTATAATGAATGTGCAATGGTAGTTGTATTTTAGGGCATCAGGGCATACATTTCCGCAGTAATGGGGAAAATTGAGATGCGAAAACTTTATATTAAATTCAGGGCGGGCGGAAGATGGGAAACACAGACAAACATATGGACAACGTTCCTGGTAGGACTTATTTCGCATAACTTAAAAGTGTTTCCTGAATGTAGGTCTCTGGGAAGTGTCGATACCAACCCGTGTGCCCCTAAGGTTCCAGGGATTCAGTTATGACCATGTGGGGCGAAATTGGTTCCAAGTACAAGCGATTGTCCCAAGACCATACTGAGACGAGGGTCGTGTTGTCGCTGGCTGACACTTTGTCACGAGTGTGAATCGTTGCTCATCTCTATCAACCACTCGATTATATACGCTGATATATCCGCGGCCTGAAACAACACTCACTCGCTCACTGATAGCTGCTCATGCTGTCAACCACTGTTTTTCTTCCCAGGCTCGATTAAATACAGTTATATATATCCGCGGCGTGAAACAACTCTCGCTCGCTGACTGCTCGTGCTCTGTTTAACAGGTATACTGGCGTACTGTGTCGTGTTCGGGCTCTGTTTGGGAAGACTAGGAAAGGCCAGTGAAGTGATGCTTAGATTCTTTACCTCGCTCAATGACATCACCATGACAATGGTTACGCTTGTTATTTGGTACGTATGGAATACAGGTTACGTCATATATGTTAGCTAGGCTGATACAAATAACAACATGCAACTACTAAGCTACTGATGTTTTTGAAGAAATGTGTTCATGCCCGCAAACAGGATCGAGTACCAGTGTCAACAAGCAATATGCAATCTCAATCACACATAAAATGCAAGAGGCGACTACCGGGATCGGGTGGTCAGGCTTGTTGACTTGGTTGATGCACGTCATCGTATCCCAAATGCGAGTACTGATACTCATGATGTCAATCACTGGATTGTCTGGTCGAGACTCGATTACTTTACAAACCGCCGTCATATAGCTGGAATATTGCTGAGTGGGCGTTAAACAAACAAACATACAAACAAACAAATACACACACAGACCTAAAGAACACTGTGACAATAAAAACTAACACAATAAAATGAAATTTTCTCATATTCAGATTTTCTGAAATAATATATAAAGAAATACGCAAAACAACATTGATTTAATGTTTAAATTAGTGAAATATGGTCAAAATATATTATATTCTTTCATATTTCATTAGTTGTAGCCATTTATATGTAAGTGTTTCGTATGGCTAACTTGAAGCGGACATGTTTGCACAGTGGAGTAATATCTCTACCTAGGTATTCGCCTATAGGGATCCTGTTCCTCACAATGTCCAAGATCCTGGCTGTGGAAGACCTGCTGACCACAGGTCGTCAGCTTGGCATGTACATGGTCACCAACCTTGTCGGGTACGCTATCCACTCCGCTGTCGTCCTCCCCCTCATCTACTTGGCGCTCACCAGAAGGAACCCCTACAGGATCACTCGTGGAATACTACAGGCTCTGGTCACTGCAGTCGGAACAAATTCAAGGTATGATTTGCATCGTAATTATAAGAATATCAATGCACAATGCCATTTAGAAAATGGTCAAATGTAACAAATGTTATATTTGAGATAACACTTTCTAAGTAAAGTACAGATTCTAGTGCTTTTCGGGGGTCCCTTCCGGGATTTGAAGCCACACTGCTTGAGTGAGGCACCTAATCGCCAGCACTCAAAGTCAGTGGTTTCACCTCGAAGGTTTCCACAAAATGAAAGTCCGAGAACTGGTTGTCTAGATCACGTACTTTGTTTACCCCTCTGACAAGTGTAACTTGGCACGGCTCCCATGGCCGAAAGTGGCTGAGTGGGTTAATTCACTGACTTTGTGTGCTGGCGATCAGGTGCCTCACTCTGGTAGTACGGGTTTGAATCCCGGATGGGATTACAATCAAATGTTCACAAGCAGACGGACAGGCCCATAAACATGATAAAGACTCGTGTGAAAGTCACAGTCATGACACATGACGAGGCAAGTCTGTAAAATGTCACAATACTCATCATTATGTCACATTAATATCGGGTATGCCCACCTTGAGCATTAATGCACGTCGATGGGCCTATGGCGCCAAACGTCGGATGATGTCGGGCGAGGAGGCATTGTTCCAATTCCTGGCGATTCACCGGGGCCACTGGGTGACTTGGCAATCGAGTTGGGTCCCATAAAAGTTCAATTGGGTTAATGGCGGCGAGCATGACGGCCAAGGTAAAACCAGAATGTTCGTGTTGTTAAGGGAGTTCTGCATCAACCATGCTGTGTGCGGCGTCGCATTGTCGGGCTGGAAAATGATTCCACGGGGCTGTTGCTGGATGAATGGCTCAGCAACTGGTCGCCAAACTAAATCTCGATATCGCTGTGCATTCATGTTACCGTGAATAACCACGAGCCTGGTTTCCAAGTCACCGCAGATTGCTGACCATCGTTCCTGAAGAGACAAACTCTGCTCTCATCGGAGAACATAACACGTCCAGTCACGCAGTTGCCAACGTCGAAGTCTCCTGACCCATATCAGTCTCTCGAGGCGATGTTGAGGTGTCAACAACATTCCTTGGTAGGGTCAATGTGCTCTGATACCATGGGCTCGTAATCTCCTGTACACGGTTTGTCGACTGATCCTGTGCCGCAGTGCCGTCGCTGCAGTAAACGTCGCCGTGACGAACCGGTTTCGGAGGTGAATTGTCCCGATGTAGCGGTCTTAGATGGACGTGGTCACCCGTGGTCTTCCGCTTCTCGGCCTGTCTGTTGTCCGGCCCATCTGACGTAACCTTTGCATTAACCTGGTGACGGTTATACGGGCGCATCCAAACATTCTGCCAATGACGGCGTGCGTCGCTCCCTGTTGGGCCATTCCAAGGGCTCTCTCCCTGTCTATTGCATTACATTCTTTACATTTGAGGGAGCACGGGTGGCCCAGTCGTCAAAGGCGCCGCAATTCGATGTGCAGAGTTGCGTCTCTTTGGCACGCCAGAAACCTATGATTGTGGGTTCGAATCCCGGTTCCCCCCGATTATGTTTCTAGGTTTGTCAGCACCATACCCGTGCTCGTGGGTTTCACCGAAGTGGTAAACGTCTGAGACCTGCATCACTTCGGGCTTTCCTCCCACAGTAAGCTGACACGCCGTTATATAACTGGAATACTGTTAAAAGCGGCGTTAAACATAGCTCACTCACTCACTCACTTTACATTTGACCTTTTCTAAACGGCATTGTATATTCATGATGAACGTTGTTTATAACAGCGCTGCCACACTTCCGGTGACCGTCCGCTGCTGTGAAGACAACTTGAAGATTGACCGGACCATCTGCCGCTTTGTGCTGCCGATTGGGGTCACCATCAACATGGACGGCACCGCCATCTTCCAAGTCGTCACCGTCGTCTTCATCGCACAACTGAATGCGATACCGCTAAACGTCATCGACATCTTCATAATCTGGTATTTAACTGAGTTACAAACAATAAGTTAAAAAAATGTCAAATGATGCTTTAAATGTAACTTATACGAATTAGTGTCATGTAGAGTGAGTAAGTGAGTGAGTATGGTTTTATGACGCTTTTAGCAATATTCCAGCAATATCACGGCTGGGGACACCAGAATAGGCTTCACACATTGTACCCATGTCAGGAATCTTCGGCATGACGAGCGAACGCTTTAACCACTAGGCTACCCGACCGCCCAGTGGACTGAAGAAGTGGGATATGTACATGTAGTATGGTGCATAATCGAAGACGAATTCCTGGCTAAATCCTGATTATAACTAAGAAACACGCACGCAACACGCACGCACGCACGCACGCACGCACGCACGCACGCACGCCATACAAATTAACGGCCCTTGACAAGAAAACGTTGCTAGTGTTCCAACCGAAATAGAAACATGTATTTTGTTTCATTTTGCATGTTATGATTGTTAAGCTATGATCTGTTAACGATTCGCTGTTAGGCATAAGTCATAATCCTTATATACGACGTTTCAGCGGTTTTGCTAGGACCTGTTGTTCGTGTTTTGAAAGTTCAAGTGGAAAACTCGGTTTTGTGGTCAGAAACGATACAGAAGACCCATACTGTCAGATCGTTTTCTTCAACATCACGTCTTTTGGCCGCCATCGTCTCAGGCGCAGTGATTCGCTATGCAGAGTTCTGTCCCTTGGTCACGCCAGAAACCTATGAATGTGGGTTTGAATCCCGGTTCGCCGCGATTATGTTTCTAGGGTTGTCAGCACCATACCCGTGCTCGTGGGTTTCACCGAAGTGGTAAACGTCTGAGACCTGCATCAATTCGGGCTTTCCTCCCACATTAAGCTGACACGCCGTGATTGAATTGGAATACTGTTAAAAGCGTCACTCACTCACTCACTCACTCACTTCTAAAGACAGGCATCATAACCTTTAATTTCTGTACCCTCTCCTGTAACCAAAACCTCATGGCAGCAGTCACGTTAACATTTACGTATAGGATAAATCTCGACGAGGAGGCGAGTTTTATACAACTTATGAACCGTCAATGCAATGTTCTCAATGCAAGAAATACCAGAACAAGATAAGATAACATCGACATACCTTATAGAGAAACAATACAGTGTATCGCGGTATTAAAGAAATTCGCTAAAACCGTGCGAGAGAACAAACACGTGCAGCAAGAACGAGCCAGGAGTCATGACATGATAATTTGAACAATTATCCCTTGCCTCGTCAACTTAACACGATATGTGAGGTAGCAGGTTCGATTTCACGTCATGGAATTTTCATGTGAAAAGAAATTGTGACTTTTAACCAATTACCGAACACAAATGTGTTCACATCAAGAGAAAAGTTCATAAAACGTAATTTGTGAAACCAAGGTATTACACTTGAAAAGTACAACCTCTAAGCAGGTTTAGAAGAGACCCATTTGAAAACCTTGGTCTGGAAGAGAACCGCTTATAAACCTGGATTGGATCTAAACCAGGAACCTAATTCAATATAGGGTAATACAGTGATAGGTTCATAAACGGCGTCAACGTGACGCAGCCGTAACAACCCTGCCCCTGCCAACGGGCCGACATTTCCAAAGTCCCGTGAAGATCCGGGTTAGAATAGGTCTTCAGCAACCCATGCTTGCCGTAAAAAGCGACTATGCTTGTCGTAAGAGGCGACTAACGGGATCGGGTGGTCAGGCTCGCTGACTTGGTTGATGCATGTCATCGATCCCAATTGCGTGGATAGATGCTCATGTTGTCAATCACTGGATTGTCTGGTCCAGACTCGATTATTTACAGACCGCCGTCATATAGCAGGAATATTGCTGAGTGCGGCGTTAAACAACAAACAAACAAAGACTTGCCCATACGACAGCTACATTACAATAAGCAGATCTTACTTAATCATACCCTTTATTCATTTTCAGCTTATGTACAACTTTGACCAGCGTTGGCTCGGCAGGTATCCCCGGGGGCGGCTTTGTAACGCTGTTTGTGATCATGTCCGCCGTCGGCCTGCCTCCTGATGACGTCTACTTCGTCCTGCCCGTTGTCTGGCTCCTGTAAGTCCTTATTAAATAGTAAGGGTGCGCGGTATTACCTGTAAATCGGTGAATTGGGGTTCATTATTTCCATGATACGTATCTCAATATAATGTTTTAATGCTCGGTATATCGGGTGATACCTGTCTAGACTCGGGGTAGAATAGGTCCTCAGCAACCCGTGCTTGCCGTAAAAGGCGACTGTGCTTGTCGTAAGAGGCGACTAACTGGTTGATGCATGTAATGGTATCCCAAATGCGTGGATCGATGCTCATGCTGTCAATCACTGGATTGTCTTGTCCAGACTCGATTATTTTCAGAAAGCCGTCATATAGCTGGAATATTGCCGAGTGCGGCGTTAAACAACAAACAAAGCAAAAAATATATCGGGTGATTTCAAAAAGCGATTAAGACCCGGTTACCCCATATCCATGTACGTCTTTCCATTGGGAGGTGGGTAGCCTTGTGGTTAAAGCGTTCGATCGTCCGGTCCGGGTTCGGTTTCCCACATGGTTACAATGTGTGAAGTCCATTTCTGGTGTATCCCGCCGGGTATATTGTTAAAAGTGGCGTAAAACCATACTCCCTGATTCTCTTTTCCAGGGGCCGTGTCATCACCATGGTGAATATCAGCGGAGACTGTGTGGCGGCGGCCCTCCTTGCTCACTACTTCCCCCGACAAGGTGCTGGAGCTGTACACAGGGAGCAAGAAGAGAACATGATAGACCACGCAGACATTGTGTAATGGGAGCCAAGTCGTCTTCAGACATTGTGTAATGGGAGCCAAGTCGTCTTCAGACATTGTGTAATGGGAGCCAAGTCGTCTTCAGACATTGTGTAATGGGAGCCAAGTCGTCTTCAGACATTGTGTAATGGGAGCCAAGTCGTCCTCAGACATTGTGTAATGGGAGCCAAGTTGTCTTCAGACATTGTGTAATGGGAGCCAAGTCGTCTTCTGACAGTGTGAAATGGGAGCCAAGTCGTCTTCAGACATTGTGCAATGGGAGCCAAGTCGTCTTCAGACATTGTGTAATGGGAGCCAAGTCTTCCTCAGACATTGTGTAATGTGAGCCAAGTCGTCTTCAGACAGTGTGTAATGGGAGCCAAGTCGTCTTCAGACAGTGTGTAATGGGAGCCAAGTCGTCTTCAGACATTGTGTAATGGGAGCCAAAACGTCCTCAGACATTGTGTAATGGGAGCCGAGTCGTCTTCAGACATTGTGTAATGGGAGCCAAGTCTTCTTCAGACATTGTGTAATTGGAGCCGAGTCGTCTTCAGACATTGCGTAATGGGAGCCAAGTCCTCTTCAGACATTGCGTAATGGGAGCCAAGTCCTCTTCAGACAGTTGCACACCTTAGCGTGCTGAAAACCTTATGGGTTCGAATCGCGGTCCGACCTGAATTATGTTTCTAGATTTGTCAGCACTTTACCTGTGCTCATGAGTCTCACCGAAGTGGTAAATGTCTAAGACCTGCATCACTTCAGGTTTATCTCCCACATCAATCTGAAATACCATTGAAATGCCGTTCGATGCGGCTTTAAAACAAACTCAATTGGTTTTTAATTAGTGATGAAGATGCGAATGCTATTTGTAATATAACTGAATCAAAGACCGGTTATATAATATCGTGACTAACGTTCCTAAGGTATGAGCGACATATGTTTGGATCCCACCTTACATTAAAATACTAGCCTCTGATTGGTTAACGAGAGGGCAATTATTTTATATATAGCCCACTCATGTAGCCCGCAGAGAAATCAATCGGAACACATCATAGGTAACCTGCATATATCGAATAAGTATCGATGAGTTGAAATTAACTGATGTTCAGCAGGCGTATGGGTAAAAGGGAAGTAACTCGGTCCGTTTGCGCCCCCGTCTGCTACGAGGTTCACAAACTCAGTGAAAATGCGGACATATAAGGTCCTGCTTGAATGAATGTCTGTAGGATCATTCGTTCTCGGGTCATATGGTGTGATGTACCCTGTGTGTGAGCCTGACGGCTGACATAGGCGCACACACAGGGTACATCACACCTCACGGCTCGGGGTACATAGGCTCATACACAGGGTACATCACACCTGACGGCTCGGGGTACATAGGCGCACACACAGGGTACATCACACCTGACGGCTCGGGGTACATAGGCTCACACACAGGGTACATCACACCTGACGGCTCGGGGTACATAGGCTCACACACAGGGTACATCACACCTGACGGCTCGGGGTACATAGGCGCACACACAGGGTACATCACATTAGAATAGGTCTTCAGCAACCCATGCTTGCCCTAAAAGACGACTTTGCTTGTCGTAAAGGCTAACGGGGTCGTGTGGCGAGGCTAGCTGACTTGGTTGGTGCATGTCATCGTATCCCAATTGCGTGGATCGATGCTCATGATATCAATCACTGGATTGTCTGGTCCACACTCGATTATTTACAGATCGCCGTTATATAGCTGGACTATGGCTAATTGTGGTGTTAAAAAACAAACAAAACAAACAAAAACGTTCTATGTTTAGTGAGTTCATTATTTACGCTACAGCAGGCCAGTATTTGATAATAACCAACGTCCCACAACGCCCGGCTACGATGACAGGCAGTCAACCAAGTCACTGAGCCTGACAACCAATCTAATTTAGCCTGTCGTCTCTCACGACAAGAGCTGGAGAGTTGGGGTGTTCACCTCCAAATCACGACACGACCTGGAGAGTTGGGGTGTTCACCTTTAACTCACGACAAGAGCTGGAGAGTTGGGGTGTTCACCTTCAACTCACGACAAGAGCTGGAGAGTTGGGGTGTTCACCTTTGACTCACGACAAGAGCTGTAGAGTTAGGGTGTTCACCTTTAACTCACGACAAGACCAGGAGAGTTGGGGTGTTCACCTCTAAGTCACGATAAGAGCTGTAGAGTTGGGATGTTCACCTTCAACTCACGACAAGACCTGGAGAGTTGGGGTGTTCACCTTTAACTCAAGACAAGACCTGGAGAGTTGGAGTGTTCACCTTTAACTCACGACAAGACCTGGAGAGTTGGGGTGTTCACCTTTAACTCACGACGAAATGAGAAACGTCCGGTGACAACACAATCTAAGTCGCTTCCGTCATGCTGAGTGCGTTTTCATTGTTAACTTCGTATACTTACTATTTCCCGTTTCAGGATCGCTACGACAGCTCTGTGGAACGGAGTCCTGTTTTCTTCCGTGACAGTGTACACATTTAGGTCACACGCTCGTGAAATAGCAAACAGTAGGAGAATTAACTTTGTGTCAGGTCGTTGAAATATACTGAGAAAACTTCACATTTTTAAAAGAAATCCCATATATGATATACAACGGACAAATGTATCAGAGAAGGTAATTTTTAATCATTAATGTCCAAAGAAGGATTTTAATTAACGGTGGTAACCGTAATTTGTTCCAAGCACCTACGGTATTCGGTAATAACATCAACAGTTTAAATCATAAGTCCCAAGCACGAGAATATGATGGCACACAAGTTCAGTAGCGTGTGTGTCCACCATGTGCGTTGACAACTGCCACACAACGCCTTCGCATGGACCTTGTGATGCTTGTGAACACATGATTGGGAAGACGACGCCATTGTTGCTGCAAAATGGTTCCAAGATCTTGCAAATTCTGTGGTTGGTTCTGGAGAGTGCGCAGACTTCTGCCAAGAGCATCCCAGACGTGTTCGATGGGACTGAGGTCGGGAGACCTTGACGGCCAGTCTATGACGTTGCCTCCCGCTTTCTGAAGGACATTCCGTGTCAAAATTGCTGTGTGGGGTCTGGTATTGTCGTGTTGATCAAACCGGGTCCATGTGCTGCCATAAAAAGCAGAAGTTCTAGTGCCAGTACCTGGTCGCGATAAAAAGCAGCGTTGAGGTTGCCACGAGGACAAGAAGCCTGGAATTTGCATTGCCACAGAAAGCACCCCACACCATGACACTTCCGCCTCGAATCTGTCAATTTCCTGCGCACAACACTGGACGTAACGTTCATGGCCGCGCCTTCATACCCTCGCCCTACCATCAGCAAATCGAAGCTTAAATCGGGATTCATCACTGAAGACGACTTGATTCCAATTTCTCTGAGTCCAAGTGTCGCTGTGCCCACAATTGACGTTTTTTAGTAACAACGATGCATTATTGTAACAACGATGCATTATAGTAACAGCGATGCATTATAGTAACATCTATGCATTAGAGTAACAACTATGCATTATAGTGACAACGTATTAACAAACAACAATGCAAGGACATGTTCCCTATGCATTTAAGATGCTGCACACTTATCAAATACAACAAAAGATGAATCCAAGATAAGCGTCATATGTGAACCATCAATGAATAACAATTTGCTTATGATCTTGAACTCAAAAAACATTGATTTAAATCTCGAGTCTTTATTCAATTTTCAACTTACAAATGTATATCATACTCATTTATAATGTTTATCTACCGATAAGAGGTTGTATTATCAGGTGGGACATAACTATTAGCTGTCTTATATAAGTCTAGTTTGTGAAGAAAACAAAACATTTTTTTTCGGAGATCACTGGTCTTGTCAAAATTAGGAGAAGAACTATCGTATTAGATTTATATTTATTAATGTTTATACGCAATAAAATTGGCTTGGCTAAATAATATTCAATTTCTATTGTTTTGATAATTTAACTGTCTATATGTACATAATCGAGTCTGCTTCCAGGAAATCTAGTGATTGATATCATGAGCAGCGATCCACGCCGTCGTATAACGATGACGCGCAATCAAGCAAGTCACCGAGACTGACCGCTCAATCCATTTAGTCGCCTCTCAGGCAGGCCGCCTCCGTGGTCTTCTGGTCGATCGTCCGCCCGGAGATCCCCGTCATACCAACAGACGTTTAAATATGGTACTTCATGTTACCCTGCCTGGCGCTCGGCATTAATGGGCTAAAACAAGGACTTGTCGGCTCGGAGTTTGTATACTGTGTCTGAGTGGGCTGTCTAAGCTGATGCATGGTATCTAAGTGGGCTAGCGTTTTAACATTGGCATTTGGCATTAGTAAAAGCACACACACACACACACACACACACACACACACACACACACACACACACGTGCATCACCTTACGACCAGCATTGGTAGGTTTGTAGAATCTATTCGAATCCCCACGGATAACTGCCTCTGGTATATCCATCAATCAACGGCAACCAGTACACCATCCAAGAAACAAACAGGTTGAAAACTTCGACATACGGGGACTAAGTTAGTATGCAAGAAACCACGGAACCGCACAAAGCAGCTGATTCATCTGACATCGAGTTATGCGTCCGGAAGTGACTGAGTATGGCTGTAAGCCTTGTTTAGCAAAAGTCTTGAAATATCACGGCGGGGGGCTTCACACATTGTTCCCATGTGTGGAATCGTGACCCGGGTCTTTGGCGTGACGAGCGAACGCTTTAACCACTAGGCTAGTGAGTGAGTTGGGTAGTTGGGTTGGGTTTAACGCCGCTTTAACACTTTACCAGTTATATCACGGCGTGTTAGCTAAATGTGGGATGAAAGCCCGAAGTGATGCAGGTATCAGACGTTTACCAATTCGGTGAAACACACGAGCACGGGTATGGTGCTGACAAACCTACAAACATAATCAGGGCGAACCGGGATTCGAACCCGGCCGCAAATGGCATATACAAGGACGGATCCTCATGGTGTTTCTCGCGTTGTTTCCTGGTGTGCTACTGATATGAACTGTCATTATGATGTGAAACTTGCACATTTCAAGTGTTTCTGTATCCTTGTCTTTGTCTATA